AAGTATTTACATGGCAGTTTATACTCACGTGATTATCAGCTCAAGTTTGCATCTGAGTTTACACTGCATAAAATCTTCCCATGCAATGTCTTTAGTAGTTAATTAACCTCTGTGGGACAAATCCTACACTAAGCCATGTGAAACCTAAGTGACATTATATCTGGGGTAAGCAGAGGCAGTTTTCCCATGTTATCATTATTCACAATTTATAATACTTGTAAGGCTATGTACCCTAAAAAACATCTGCAGCAATGTTGCAGTGTTAAGTGTTTTTATTGTGGTATTGCCCAAGAAAGCTCCAATGAGCACCAGGACTCTTTTGTGCTGTATGAGCACCTACAAAGACAGAGATCATATTCTAAATTGAAAAGAAAGACAAAGGAATGGAGGAAAAACTGTAACATGCAAGCAGAAGACTGGGACTAGGTATAAAGATTAAGTGATGTACCCAAATCTGCATACACAAACTCTGTGATACAGCTGGAAATAAAGCCCAACTTTTCTGAGTCTCAGATTAGTGCCTTAACTATAAGCCCATTCTTTCTCTTTAGCAATACAGGAGAATATGGGGCTGTAAAAACTTCTCCTGGGCCATCTAGTCTCCTGTTGTCACAGGTACCACATCATAAAACTCCCTTTGTACACCTATCAAACTCCATCTTCAAAGTAGGTAGATGCTGGGCCTCATTGTTCTGATTGGAAAACTGTTTCAGAGCTTCATACCTCTCGTAGAAAAAGTAGGGCTAGAGTGGATCATAGAAAGTCAAAAAGTTCAAGCCCCTGCTCAAGGCAGGATCACTTTTATCTAAACTGTCCTAGATAAGTGTTTTTCTAACTTATTTTAAAGGAATTTGCAAACAACCCTCTTGTACAACTTCCAATTAGGATGCCCAAAATATAAAAACACCCTAACTTGCCACAGATACAACAGGGGGACAAGGCACTGTCACTGCAAGAACAAATGGTTGTTGAAATATGCTTAAGATGTCCAAAGAAGAGGAACATGCAATGGTGTAGGATGTACACCAAGTGCCCAAGAAGTGGGGGAAAAGCACCATTCTGCTTCTCTCCACTCACTCCCCTGATCTACCCAGATACATTATTTAATGCAGTGCTGCACTACCTGGTTCCTGTGACCAAGCAGAGGCAGAGCAGAGCTTTTCCTGGGGCAGCAAAGACTCCTGGTGGGGGTATCATGGTGTCCCCTCATAGCTGGCATCTGGGGTGGGTGCACCCCTTCCCTCACCCTATATTACTGGGACCATGGCCCTGCTACAGAGGACTGTTGGGTAAAAGTAAAGGTTAGGAACCTTCTAATTTATTGCTTAGATGTGTTTATGACTGGTTTATACCCCCTGCTGTTAATCCCTTGTTGCACTGATAGACACCTTAGCCTTTGTTCTAGGGCATATCTATATCATGGCCATAGGGTAGTCTGGCCAGGACAGCCTCTAGTACATGCTCTGTCCACCTGCTCCCATGGTCATGCTACAACTCTGGACGCATGCTCATGAGGCTGCTCCGGGATTGCCCCCAGCAGTGGTGTAACTAGGCAGGGACAAAAGGGGCATTTGCCATGGGTGCTGACTTAGGTGGCCATGCTGGCACCCCCTTGGCCCCACTAGTCCTTGCCATGGCAGCTTTGTACTGCCAGTCTGGAGAAGTTGGGCTGGAGTACTCCTGTACTGTCCAGCTAGAGGAGTCATGTTCTGAGATACTCCGGGCAGGCAAGGCCACCCTCTCCTCCTTCTCTTGTGCTCCGGCCTCCTCGCTCCACTAAGGGCAGTTTTGCCCAGTGCACAGTGCTCATTAATTGCAACTCTGGTCTTCAGTAGCGGCTCTCAAGCATGCTAGAGACTGAGGTCTTGAGAAGGGCCACAGAGACATACTGCAGAATGGCCTTACCAGGGTACTTCCAGGTTGCAAGACTGTATGCAGAAGTGGATGGATGAGGTGTGCTTGGGAATGGCTCAGCCAGGATGTACTCTACCAGAGTGCAGACAAGCCCTTTGTCTCCTTTTGCAGTCAGCCTTTCTCCTCCACTGTTCAACCCAGTAGCCTTGTACTTACTCCAATTTAAGTTTATCTTTAATGGCAGCATCAGACTGATAGCTCATAATCTCCCTGTGATCAATTAGTACATCCTGGTTCCTCTCTTCAGACATTTCTAGCTGCTGATTTGCTGAGCTCCCCTCTTATGTCAGAAGCCTTTCTTATTAGTGCATGACCAAAGATGGCCGCATCCAGCAGTGGGGGGGGGAAGGAAAGGGAAAGAAAAAGAGAGGGAGAAAAGAGAAAGGGAGAAAGAGAGGAAAAAGGAGAAAGAAGAGAGAGGAGGGGGGTGGAGGCTAGGTAACGTGGGTACGCAGGTGATTTATAAGCCCAGTCTTTGCCCTGAACAATCTGCTGCAGTGGGCAGGAGAGCAACAAAGACTGGACACAAGAGGTCCTCATTTTCATGGCCACGTGCTTCCTCACTGCCTCTGCCATGCGCCACTGCTCAAAGGCCAGCACTCCACTCTGGGCCGATGACCTCCAGGATGGACGGTCACAAGCAATTTGCTCCGATGAATTCGGGTTGATGCCAAAACTCTTTAGGGACATCTTTAGGGTGTCCTTGTACCACTTCTTTGGTGCACTGCAAAAGTGTACTCCATTTGACAGTTCGCCATAGAAGATTTTCTTTGGCAGGCAAGTGTTGGGCATTCTTAAAAGGCAGCCGACCCATCTTAGCTGCATCAGTTTCAGTAGGGTGTGGATACTGGGGAAAGCTGATCTTCTGAGCACTCAGTGTCTGGAATCTTGTCCTGCCACCAGGGCTGGCCCTGGCGGGGGGGACAAATTGGGGCCTTTGCCCCAGGCCCCATCCTTTGGGGGGCCCCGTGGAGTGGGGCAGAGCAGCAGCAGTATGGAGCTGGGCAGAGTGGCAGCTCCACATCCAGTCGCTTGCTACCCCCCCACCACTGTCAATGCTGCCCCTACCAGTGGTGGCGGCAGCTTCTAGGGGTCAGAGCCATGGGAATGGAGCTGGGGTGGGGCCATGCATGGGATGATTTGCCCAGGGTGCCGCACCATGCTCAGGTCAGCTCTGCCTGCCACTTGGTCTTTAGTATCTTTCACAGGCAGCACAAGTGGAAGTGGTTTCTTGGCATGATGCTGGTAGACAGTCCGGGTTTTGCAGGCATAAAGGAGGTTGGGAGAATGATGGCTTTGTAAACCTTCAGTTCCACTTACATTCTGATGCTTCTGCAGTCCCAGACTGTCTTACGGAGTCTGCTGAAGGCCACGCTGGCTTTTGCTAGTTTCACGTTGACTTTGGCGTCGATGCCGGCAGCATGGGAGAATGTGCTGCTGAGATAGGCAAATTTGTTGACCATCAACAGTTGTTGGCCTTTAACTGAGATATGTGGTTCCTGGGGAGTTGTGCCAGGCGCAGGTTGAAACATCACTTTGGTATTCTTCATGTTGATAGCGAGTCCGAAGTTGTAGCAGGCTGATGAGACTAGGTCCACGGACTGTTGCATGTCAGCCTGTGAGCCTGCACATAATGCACTGTCGTCAGCAAAGCAGAAGTTGTGAAGCATAGCTGTCTGGACATTGGAGCTTGCTTGGAGCCTGCGCAGGTAGCATGACTATGTAGCATTTTTAATATTCCAGTTCTCAAGATCATCCTGTCTATTTTGTATGCAATTCCTTCTGTGGATTGACAATACTTCCCAGCTCTGTTTCAAAAGCAGATTTCATCAGTGCATTCCCACTTTTTGTACAAAATAAACCTCCAAAACTGGGGCACAAAATCCAACCCCAAAACTGATCTTTGAGAAATTCCACAAGTAAATTCCCAGTAGTCCAATACTTCCCCTTTCAGCTCCATGTTGCTATTGCTTCTTAAGCTAGTTTTTGCCTGCCTTACAATTCATATACTAATCTCCATCATCTTCAGCTTTTCTAATTATTTCCTTCATGTGGCACCATGTCAAATGCTTACTCAAAGTCTAGGTAAATCAGATCTACTATATTTTCTTCATCTAGAGAACCAGTTATCTTCTAACATATAAAAGTTATCAGGTCAGTTTTACTAAATTTAACTTTGATAAAGCTATGTGGTATATTAGCCAAATTTCTGTTTAACTCCACATCTTTAACTATTCTTTCCTTCACTATTTTGTTGCAAAGCCTTGAGTAGTATTGAGATCAGATGAACATGCCTATAATTCCTCTCTCAAATATAGTATTTTTAATTCATTCCAAATGTAGTCTTCCCCCATCCCTGGTGAATTTTAAAGCCTTGGCTAATCTCAGTGCTATGTGGCTTTCATGTTCACTATTAGATTGTCCTTGCTGGTGGTTGGTTCTTAGCCTTGTTAAGGTAAAGGCATCCCTTGTTAAACACAAGGGGCCCCTCCTTAGACCTGAAGCACACTTCAGAAAGTGCCAGCTCTTAGCTTTCACTCCTTTTTTGACTGTAGACAAATAATACACCTCTTTTTCTGTTGCAAAGAACTCCAAAAGACCACAACAGGTTAGACTGTGTTGAACTCTATGGATTCTTATTTGAAATTGTTGGGTTTATCTTGTAAATCATATTTGCACATCTCACAGTGCTAAAATTGCATGGCATTCTGTGGCACCCCTCAAAAAATCTCAAGGCAGTCCGGGGTGTTTCAGCACCCTGATTGAGAATCACTGGTCTACACAGTACTGTAGCCAGAACAGTGCTAGCTGTGCACTGGCACTGGGCATTGTCTTACAAGAGGCACCAAATTAAGTGGTAGTAATGTTATATAATAGTGTATAAAGGGGTGCTCTACACATGATCTGCACCAAATGCCAAAATGCCTACCTGTGGCTCTGGGTCTGTATATATGTTAAAAGAAGAAAAGAAAACCCTGTATTCAGATGAACCAGAGCTTCTCAAATAATTTCAAACCCATCAAATGGGTTTTTGTTTGTTTGTTTGTTTTTCCCCTGAAACATGTCACAAAGAACAAGTTTCTAAATTTGCTTGATTTATCATTGTATTTCTAGTTAGAGGACAGGTGACTAGCCATAAAAAGACAAATGCAAAATACTGTACTAGAAAAACAATGCAGTTGTTTGGTCTTAGAAACATAGAATGAAGATGTGTGATGCTGTCCCTTCAACTCCTACTGCTCACTTCATAATCCTCTTAGCCAAACAGCAAGGCAAATCTGATGTTCATCTTCAGCATGGGCAGAGCTAGTGACTTCCTCTCAGCTGAACAGTGGTGCCTCTGAAGGGGAAAAAAGATATACCTCCTGTTACTGATATTTAACATAACATAAAATAAACCCAAGTGTCATTTATAAGGCAGTAAATTTACTTCAAGGGCTTCTGCAGTTGTCATTAAAGGCTAGAATAACAGGAGAATAACAGGAGCTCAGACCATGCTGGAAGCTGGGAAAGAAAGATGCTATAAATTGGGGAGAGGAAGCAAATCTATGGGGAGTTAATATAGGAAAAAGAAATTAGAGTATTTTATTTGAGCCAACTTTTTTGGCTGTGGCTGGGCAGGCTGGTTATCTTGGATGGCTCACTGGGTATTCAAACCTTATACAGCTATAAATGAGCTCCATACTTTTCCTCCTACAGCCCCTGTGCATCCTCCATTCCTCTTCCTTCAGAGTTGATAACAATAATGACAGAAAAGAAGGGCAGAATCATGATAAGCTGGCGTATTTTTCTTGATGACTCACTTCTCTTCTTGCCATAGCCAGGCCCAGACCCTGCTCTCACTTCTTCCGTGCCATATGGACAAGAGAAACAAAGCGTGAAAGAAAGGAAGTACAGTAAAAGCTGTGTTAACCAGCATTTTAATAACTGGAATACTCTGTTAATTGGACTTTCATGTAGGGGGGGAAGCTTGCACATGACCGCTGAACTTCTACCCACTACCCTGTGCTGTCATCCCTCTGTGTGTGGCTGCCACCACCCCCTCTCCCTTCCCCCCTACCACCCCACTCTGTGTCCAGCCAAAAACCCCTGCCTCAGGTAATCAGAATTTTTAGATAACCAGCACCCCCCTTACCCAACTCACGCGGGATAACAAAGCTTTTACTGTACTGTTATTCCTCTTTTTACATATGTAAAAACTGAAATGTCCCAGGGGGATGAAAGTAGAGGGGCGGAAACCCCTCTTCCACAGTTGGAGTTCTGGTGGGAATAGTCCGCCGCAACTCCAGGGAACTTACCCCTTGAATGGGGTGAACTTACCTTTTTCAGATGCAGCGAGCCAGGGCAAGCTGCAGGGGAAAAAACCTCCCACACGGTTCATCAGCCACTTTTCTATATGACTGGAACTGGTACAGGAGGATGACGTAATGAGAAGACACCGCCTGGATGTGATAAAAGCCAGTGGTGGGGAAAAGGCAGGGGGAACACAGCAGGGAGGAGGCTGCGAGTTCCCGTCCTGGACCAGCCAGGAACCTGCCTGTCTCCGAGGGAAAAGGCTGGGGGAGGACCCAGTAGGGGGTCCATTCGCTCATGGAAGAGCACCCAGCATCTGACCCAGGGAGTGAGCTAGGTCCTGGGATCATGCTGAGGAATGATAGGCACCTTCACACACAGGACTCATGAGTAGGAAAGAGGCCCCTGGGCCCTCCCTGGAGTTTAAGTTATCTGAAGTTCTTTTGCCTTCATTTCAAGGCCCCACAAGCCAGGAGAAAAGGCCGCAGGACTAACGTCAGGGGCTGAGCACCCCAGGGCCCCTCAGTGTCACTGGGCAGATCCATCATTAGGGTCAACCCTGTACCCATGAAGTCCCTTCAGGGTGGATTTATTGAACTGCCGCTGGGTCTACGACCGGTGAGCTGTAGACCACGGCCGACAAGAAAAAGGCAGCTGACCAAATCAACATGGCGCCTGACCTCCGAGGTCAAGAGTGTGGGATAGGGGATGCCAGAGGCTATGGCATCCAAAAGGGGTAGGACTGACCAACATCCAACCGTTCCAACAGGCTGATGCATGGCAGGGGTGTAAGGGAGATGGAGCCCCTGGAGCACTGGCCAGCAACGACTCCCAAGGATTTTGCCAAAGGATTTATTCCATGGCTAGAACACTGGAATGGGTACTTTCTCAGCTCTCAGGCCCAATCAGTTTTCAGGATTGCACAGGTTTAACTTAAACTTACAGTGTCCATACAAAATTTTGCACTGATTTAACTCATCTTAAGCTAAAAACCTTTCATTGTTAACTGAGGCCTTGTGAAAGGGATTTGCTAAATTATCTGCCTCTCAAAATCTTTAAGTTGAGATTGGAAGACATTTTTATAAAAATATTCTGGTTTAACCCCATGCCTGAGGGCTTCACATAGAACTTCTATGGCTATTGTTATGCAGGAGGTCAGACTGGTTTATCAAAATGTTCTTTACTGGTTTTGAATAATGAATCAGCCTTCACCATGAACATTTCTCCCAACTGTTTGTCTGTAGTATGATTTTTTTAGGCATGGTACAGCTTTTGGCTTATCTACACTGTATCAGCGGTAGAACTCATGGAGGATGGGACTAAGCATGCTCCGCCCACCCAAATCCACAGATGCACTTAAGAGCTGGAAGTTCATCAGTCAGGGGCCTCCAGACTCATCCCTGGAATCTGCTGTCAGACTGACTGAAGATTGAGGGCTCAAGAGCAGACACCAGGGATAAGTCCAGAGTAGTCTCATAGACAGACTTCCAGCCCTGGAAGTGTATCAATGGACTCAGGTGGATGGGAAGTAGGCGTGGTGGGTGGTGTCCTTCCCACAACCTACTGTTGACCTGGCAGAAACAAATCTGGAAAATATGATTAACATTTTACAGTATGGTTGAACCCTGACGCATCAGCCCAAATTGTAGCAAAGTTGTAGCCTGTTTTAAGAAGGAACTCTGCTGGTCCTCCAAGTGCTTCCTCAGTAAAAAAAAGGGAAGTCAGGAATTTTTCTCAGATTAATAATCAAATAGGTCAAACTCTCTTTAAAAATAAACCTTTATAGATTATATATTAATTTCTTTTGTGGGTTTCTTTGAAAGTCAATCCTAAAACCTCGTTTGTGCCTTGAAAACATTCATGGCTTTTCAGAGAAACTAAAAATCACTGATTGGTTTTTGGAACAAATTTTACCCAAGGTTCAGCAGAAAGTCCACATCTGGAATAGTGGCACCAGGTCTGGAGCCTGCCATTGTGTGTGAGCAGAGACCTGGCCCGGCGAGGAGCCTGACTGAAGTAATCACTTGCAGGTCAAGGACCTTCGTACCCATTCCTGCTGTATCAACAGAAGATTTCACAACGAATACAGTGTTATATTTTTAACCATTGGGAAATATGAAACTGCTCCTCTTTAAAATATAAAGCAACCACTGAAATAAATTTCTATTAACAATGATTTGCTTATTGATAGCATAGGTGCTCAACCTGATGGTTGCAAAAAAGTTTCCAGAGACAAAAGGCCACTCCTTTTCTTTTCTGGTTGATGGGAGGCTGGTCTAGAAACATTTTTCTGTGTAGGGTCACAGTACAGGAAAAGTGGAGAACCACCTTGCTCTTTTCATCACAGCATTCTGAAGAGGCATACACAAAATTGGAGCATTATATAGTAAAATCAGGAGACTCAGCATGTTTCTTGAGCACACAGGTCATTTCAATATACTTTATAAAGTGCCCTTCTTTAAAAAGACAATTCTGGGAAATAGTTTAAGAACTTTTTTAAAAAAAATTTTTGGAGCAAACCCCAGGCTCTGCTTTCCATTACCCCCACACCTTTTCTCCAGAGGCAGGAGAGAAAAAGAGAGAGAAGCAGGGGAATCCACAAATGTCTTTTAAATAAAATGTTATTAAAAACCTCGAACCGTTTAAAATAAAATTCTTCCCTTTTTATGCCTGAAGCATGAAGTTTATTCTGAACTTTTATTTTTATTTTGTTTTCAAGTGGCTGTAAATCAATCCCATCTGTACAACTCAAGTTAAACTGTGTTCTAACATTGCCAGGTTAGGGCAACTACCAGTATATGGTCCCCAGAAACGGCAAATGTGTTTTCTTTTTCAGAGCCCATCTCTCCAGCAAGCCCTGAGTAGCTGAAGGCCTAACACAGTGAAAATCAACCAGGGTGCTGTGACACCCTGGGGTGCTTCGAGATCCTTCCAGGGGTGCTACAGAATGCCATGTAATGTTATCACTGTGGTGTGCAAACATGAGTCACAAGATAAACCCCACTGTTTTAAATAAGAATCCACAGTGTTAAAAAATGCTGACCTGTTGTGTAGGCCTGTGGAAGTAGGCAGCTATTCTATCTGGCTTTGGATCTGGCTGCTTCGGATGCCAGAGACCCGATTCGGAGCTTTGGACCGGGTTCCTGCTTCGATCTGGTCAAAGCGGCTCCAAAGCTTCAGAGCTGCCTTGGAGATCCGGCCATAGGGTATAATGGGGAATAAATGAAATATCTATAACTTTGTTTTTTTTTGTCTGATTTGGATGAAACTTGCAGGAGTGGTAGCCTCTAGTGAGAGTGTGAAGCCTACCAAGTTTCAAGAAGACCGGTTCAGGGGGAACTGTACCCCAAGTTCTTTAAAGCAAAATTCGTGTCACATGTATGTGTTACAACACAGGGGGGTGAAAACTACAGGCGTGGTAGCCCCTGGTGAGGCCAAGAAGCCTGCCAAGTTTCAAGAAGATTGGTACAGGGGTTTGGGGTGACACTGTGTGTGTTAAGGTGCAGCAGGGTGAAAGCTGCAGGCTCAGAATCTTTTCCGAAGCGATTTGGAAGCTCCAAATCCATTCGGAAAGCCTAAAACTTCCAGTGATTTGATTTGGATTCATAGATTCGACCTCCAAATCGTCCAGATCATCTCCAAACCTGAATCATGATCCAAAGCTTTGCACAGCCCTACTGTTGTGTTCTTTCTGAGTTCTTTGCAACAGAATAATAGCCATATTGTATTTCTATAGTCAAAAAAGGAGTGAAAACTAAGAGCTGACATTTTCCAAGGGGTGCCTCAAGTCTAAGGAGGGGCTCCATGTGTCTAAAAGAGGTTGAGAAACACTGGCTTAAGAGCGTCTTTTCAGAACAAATTCCCAGTTTGGTTCCAAAGCGGGGAGAAAAAAAAATGCTTGAATAGTGCAGAGGAAGAGAAGTGATATCATGCCCTGTAACCAAAATGTGCTGAGGATATAACCCTCCTCCCACCCCGGCCAACACACACACACTTCTCAGGGTAGGGGTTGGCAAAGGAATGAATGAAGTGTGACTGGAGGAAACATCAGTCCCACTACAGCAGCTGTGGTTGGGTGCTGACTCTTGACAAAAATAAGGAGTAAATAAAAGGATGAAGGGGAGGGTGGGGGGAGCACGTGTGTGTGACTATGTGCATCTTACCTAAGACTGTGTGTGTGCATCTTATTGAGACTGTTTGTGTGTGCACATGTGCATCTGACATGAGCCTCTGTGTGTGGACATGTATCTTACCTGAGACTGTGTGCATTTACTGAGACTGTGTGCATGCATGTGCATCTTACTGAGTCTGAGTGCATGTATATCTTACCTGAGCTTGTGCGTATGCATCTTACTTGAGACTCTGTGCGTGTGCGTGTACATCTCACCTGAGCATGCATGTGTGCGCAACTTACCTACTGCATGTGTGCATCTTACCTGAGACTGTGTGCACACATCTCCGGTAAGATGCGCACGTGCTCACAGTCTCAGGTAAGAGGCACACACGCAGTAGGTAAGTTGTGCACATGCACACACTCACAGGCTCAGGTGAGATGTACACACATGTGCACATCTTACTGAGACTTTCTGCATGTGTGCGCGTTTTACCTGAGACTCTGTGTGCGTGTGCATCATATTGAGACTGTGTGCATCTTACCTGAGCGCGCGCGTGCGTGTGTGTATATGCAGGGGGGGAGATACTCTGGCAGGGCTGGGGCGAGAAAGGCGGCCACGAAGAAAGGCCAGAAGCGGCTCCCTGCGGCCACCTGTAGGAGCGGGCGGCAAAAGGAGGCGCGAGGGCCGGGCCAGGGGCGGGGCGGCTCCGGGCTCCTCCTCGGGCCGGGACCTGCGGGAGACTCCCTCCAGCCCCCTCCCCTCGCGGCGGCCGGAGGAGGAGGAGGAGGAGGCGGCGACGAGCGCCTCCCCCCTGCCTGCCCGCCCAGCGCCGCGCAGCGCCCGGAGCATGGAGCCTGCCTGAGCGGCGCGGCTCGGCTCGGCTCG